GTGAGCAAGAGGTAGAGATACGGGCTAAGTACCCACAACTTTCGATGAATTTCAAGGTAAATTTTTGAGGAAGAAAATTTATTTTAAGAGGGGTAGATTATAACACCCTGAAAATTTCCTTATAGTCGTTAATTTTGGAAATTAGGACCTTATAGTAAAATTTTGAAAAAAAATAAAAAAATCTAGGGATCAAATTGTTTGTTCTACATAGTTCAGGGATCAAATCGTGGACTTTCCATTTGTCACATAAGGAAAGATTTCACGTGTCACATCATGACCATATTTAATTCTTTCCATTACCTATCCACACTACACGACAATTTTTTTTACACACACAAATTCATAAGTGAATTCTTGGAAAAGTTTTTCGCACGTGTTTTATCAAATCCTGTTCAATTTACGAGGTAAGTGAAATATTTTTATTTCATTGTTTAAATTTATAGAAATCATTGTTTATGATCATGTTATGAAATCATGGAGTTCAGTAGCACTACACACGAAATTAGAACCACGAAGTTCGGTTTTTAATATTTCGTATCTCATCAAGTATGTTCACGAATCTCATGGACTTTTATTTTTCATGTTACGTTATTCCACTTATTGAGATTAACATCTCATATGAAATGTGAATTTTTTTTAGGTAATATTTAATCAATGAATCGAGAGAGATGAAGATTAGACGAGTACGCAATAGTGGCTAATAAAATATTTTAATCAATGATTCGTTTTAGATGGTATCAGAGCGGGTCTACGTTTTTGTAGTCTACTTAGAATGTTTAGGAGTTTATGTTTTGCATCCACCCTGCATTCTCACATATCAAGTTTCATCCCAGAGCTAGAGCCTGCGTATTTGTTGGTTATCCTCCAAGAATAGAAGGCTATATGTTGTATGATATCATGTCTCAATCCTTCTTAATCTCTAGAGATGTTACTTTCTATGAACATATATTTCTATTTCACTCCATTACTCATAAATCTGACAACATTGATCATTTCTATGTCATTGTTCTACCTCACTTTGCTTCTGATATTCTCATTTTCTCTTCCCCTAACATAACACCTCCCGTAGTCCCAAAATGAGGATGCAAATAACTCATATGACTTGCAATCTAATTCACCTTCCATCACTAACCATTCACTAATGCCTACTGCTCTCAGAAGATCATCTAGAATCAGTAACCTCCTTCATATCTTAGAGATTTTCATTGCAATCTTCTAACAAACTCCCAACAGGCTCCCGACAAGTCTCCTTACCCTCTTTCCAAATGTGTTTCCAATGAGTCTTTTTCTCCTTCACACCATGATTACCTCTAATATGTGTTATCACATTTTGGACCACAATTTTACCATCAAGTTGTGAAGTTTGATCATTGGAGAGATGTTATGGCATCTGAATTGAAAGCTATTGAAAGGAATAACACTTAGTCTATTGCAAAATTGCCTAAGGGTAAACATTCTATAGGCTGCAGATGGATCTATAAAATCAAGTACAAATAAGATGGTAGCATAGATAGATACGAGGCTTGTTTGGCGGAAAAAAGGTACACTTAACATGAAGGATTAAATTTTATTGAGACCTTCTCTCCTGTTGCCAAACGGGTTACTGTCCAAGTCCTTCTAGCCATTTTAGCCATAAATAAATGGAAAATTACACAACTCGATGTGAACAGTGCATTTCTTAACGGTGACCTTTTTGAGGAAATTTATATGGACTTGCCTTTGAGATACAATAAGTAGGTTGATCTTGGCAATTAGGGGGAGCAATTGGTACGCAGACTCCATTAATCAATTTATGGCCTCAAACAAGCTTAGAGGAAATGGTTCTCAAAATTCTCAAGTGCCCTTATTGGTTTTAGCCAATCAAAGTCGAATTATTCCTTGTTTACAAAAGGAAATGACGGCACCTTTGTTGATCTTCTAGTCTATGTTGATGACATAGTCATCATTGGGCAAGATTACCAAACCATTGAATCTTTAAAAGCCTTCCTACACAGCCAATTCAAACTCAAGGACCTTGGACAGCTAATGTATTTCCTAGGTTTAGAAATTGCCAGGTTACGCAAGGGTATTTTCTTGTCCCAATGTCATTACACTCTTCAACTACTTGAAGACACTGGTTTTCTAGCTTGTAAACCTGCTATATTACCTATGGATCCCAAGCTTCGCCTTAGCTCTTTTGAGAGAGAACTCCATGTTGATGCATCAATGTATAGAAGACTAGTAGGTCGCTTATTGTACCTAACCATATCTTGACCGGATATTACATTTCAATTTGTGTCTCAACCACGATAGCCTCATCGCCTACAATATATCAACGCTACTCCAGGTCAAGGAATCCTATTTTCTGCACAATCCTCTGTCCAGCTTTGAGCATTTTCTGATGCAGATTGGGGATCTTGTCTTGAATCAAGAAAATTTGTCATGGGTTTTTGTGTCTTCCTTGGAGACTCATTGGTTTCATGGAAAGCTAAGAAGCAAAGTACTTTGTCTAGATCTTCAGCTGAAGCAGAATATCGTGCATTAGCTTCCATAGCTAGTGAACTTGTTTGGCTTAATCAATTACTTTGTAATTTTCAGATTTCCACAGATGCTCGTGCCTTGATCTTCTGTGATAATCAAGCAGCAATTCACATTGTGTCTAATCCAATTTTTCATGAACGAACTAAGCACATCGAAATAGATTGTCATTTTGTTCGAGACAAGATCAATGACGGGTTTATCAAACTGTTACCCGTTTGAACTCGTCATCATTTAGCAGATATCTTCACTAAGTCTTTACCGGCTACACTGTTGGTTTCCTTTACTATCCAAGATGGGAGTTATCAACCTCCATAACCATCTTGAGGGGGAGTAACAGAATATGCCAGCAGCAGCAGTATAGCATGATGAAGACCAGCTGGAGCTAGTTAGTTGATACAGTTCTGGTACTTAAGTAGTTGATGCTCACGTGTCAACTTAGATTGGTTTGTATAGCTAAGAGTTAGTTTGAGTTAGTTCACTTCTTTGTATTTACATACAGCAATGGCCAATGTGCAATGTATTGTAATCCAATTTTGAGAGAATAAAATTTCAGTTCATTTCTTTCACTTTGTTCAATAACCACCACAACGCTGCCACGACCCCAGGCTGATAGAAAGTTTTCTCAGTCCCCAAGAGCAGAATGGAAAGTCCTAATACCAAGGTCAATTTTTTCTTCACCACAATTCTTTCTGTATAAATGTTAATTTATCTTTTAATTGTGAAAGTTGATAGTTTTTCTTGGTCAAGAGCCGTTAATGGTCTGTTAAATTTGCAGAGGCTTAGGAAAATTAAGGAAAGACTGAAAGAGATGAGCCAGTGGTGGATTCAAGTCGTGCACTAAGGTGAAGAAGGCGAATAGATAACAATATTGAAAACATTCTAAAGGACTAAATTATTTTCAGTTTAATGGATTCAGATCCTGTGTTTTATGCCTATTTGAAACTAGTCTTGTAATTTCTTGGGTGTTTCTTGATATATTATTTGAGTTTGAATCCAATTTTTTGTCTACCCCAAATTGAATTTATGCGACTGCAGTCTTTCTCAATTAAGTTTGATGGCCATTATTTGGCAAAAACAATATTTTGAATAGTGAATTTTCGGAGAATGTTTACGTGCAGAATATATTATTGTATGAATGTTTGATTAAAAATGAGTACGTAGAAAAAAGAGTTTTGAAAAAAAAAAGCCCATCAAATAGGGGCTAAGTATTATGTTCTGTTTTGCATATGAATATATAGAACATTTTTTGTTGAAATGATTCATTTCACAAATTTTAATCCGATTTTCTACAAGTATCTGGCTTATGTCTTAAGTTGGGATTTTTAAGTTCGTGTTGTGGTGACTCCTTACGATGTCAGATATGATCTCTTGTTCGATTATGTTCTTGAATTTAAGCATCTTGATTCCGTCGGTACTATCATGTATCATTTTGCATACGGAGAAAACGCTTTCAAATTCGAGTTCTTATATAAGATTTAATGATTTTAGTCATTTACATCCTGTCGTGCATGTGTAATTGTTGCAGGATGAATGCGTGACTGAAATTGAAGAACCGAGAGAAGAAGCTGTGTCGGTCAAGAGGAAGGGGAAGTTCCTGGTTCTTCATTTCAGGTGTCCCCGTGGCAAAGGCTATCAGATCCTTCTCAGTGGAGACAGCTGTTACTTCAAGCTCACAAATTTCTTAACTAATCCCAATCTTTACTCAGAGATTTCGATATGATCAACAGCAACGAGTCGACTCATTTTTTCCCCTTGCTTATCGACCTTGTATTTACCAATTGTACAAAGAAAACATTAGTAGATAACGTTCATAGTACCAGAGGTCTTGCTAGATTTCAGATTGTTGATCCGACTAACAACGTTTCTGCTATGCTGCTGTTTTAGCCCTTCAGCTGACTCTACAAATTTTAAGAAGAATTCATGCTCAACTGATTTAGTTTTTGTTCAGATTCTGTTCTCTTTTTTGAAGCATGATGGCATCAGAAATCGACGTTAATTACTATCATGAAACACGTATTGTACATATCCTTCTGGTAAGTTGGACTTGTATAGTACTCGACACTAATAAAAGTAAAAACTTAACATCTCGTCCATTGTGCTGTCTAGATTTTATTTTTTCCTGCAATATTTCTTGAACCAGGTAGGAAATGATAGAGGGATCTTAGTTTTAAGCAGTCAAAATCATAAACCACAAATTCACAAACACTAAAGTTTGAGGAGATCGTCTTTGTTAATTCGAATTTCAACAGGAAAGTGAAAGAAGTACACGTCATGAACAAAAACAAGAAATTCATTGTATTAAGAAAAAAACTGTAAACTTGGCTGAAATTTTGATGACAGCGGAAGGCTAAAAAATTCACTCGAAAAGTAGAACAGAGTTCTTTATTAAGGCAAAAACCGCTCACGCTGAATTACAGATTTTAAGCAACATACATATTTCCATTATATTTTGACAGAGTTAAGTCATAATAGGAAACTATTTAGGCACAAACATGAGGATTGGCGGCAAGGTACTCATCACAAGCCTTGAAGAGTCCCTGAGCTTGTTCTTTGCCTGCTTTAACATCCTCCTCTTTGAGTTCAAAATCACCCTTGGTATGATACTCACTGGTCTGCTTGACAACACATCCTCCATCCTCGGAGTGCTCGAATTTCACCTCGTAATCAACTTTCTCGATCTTGTCTCCGAGTACGTCTCCATCAACCAAAGTATATTTGCTTACATAGTTCACAGGGTCGATATCATTAATCTTGTGACTAACGTGTTTGAAGTGAGCACCTGCCAAATAACACATAAGCTTATCAGATCATAATGTAGAAGCAAAAAACTTATGACATGTTTAGTATGCTGTATTGGAACATTGAACAAGAGTAAAAAAAGACTATATCCTGTCGGTAACCTTCTGGGAAGGTTGTCTTATATATGCTTCCAGGACCGCCATCTCCTTCAATGATCTCAACGCTCTTGATGGACGGGGTGACTTTCGGTAAAACGTTATGGGATTCAGTGACCAAAGTTTTGAACATCCTGTGGGGAGCAACCTTCGTCTTAGCCTCGTGGAAAAACTTGAAGATACCCATGTTTGCTTTGAAAAACTTAGTAACTGTCAAAAAAGTTGAACTAAATTTCAATTGAGAAGAAGCTTAGTGATATGCAAAAAGCTGAATCTGAAGAGGGAATTTATAGGGGTGATGTTGTGGAAAACATCATTTGAATATTGCCACATTGAAGCCTAAATTTCAATATTTTAGAACGCCGTGATAGATTTTGTATCTTTATATATAAAATTCAAGCAGACTATCTGTAGTTGTTACTATTCAATTCTTCCATCTATCGTCTATGCTTTGGATATAAAAAATGATATTTTTAATGTTCTAATGCTTTCTTAATGCCACCTGGCCATATGAATTTGAAATGAAGGTGTGCCACACAAGTGATTGGTGCAAAAAACTGTCGGTTTTTTTTTAACTGGCCAATGAGACATTCTGTCAAGAAAGGTGGGAAAATCTATCTGGTAATGTAGTAAGGATGTCTCTCTCCATGTCATGATGCAAGATTGATGCGATGATTCAAGAAATTTTGCTTATTTTAATCAATTCAAGATGAAAAATGGGTTGGATTAGGTATCTGGAACCTCAAATCCATTGACACAGCCTTTGCAGGCGGGATTTGAGATTTTGGAGACTTTAGAGTTTTGAAGAACTTTATAATATATATATTTTTAAATAGCTGAAAATTATACTTCATGTCATAATTTTCTTTTACTATGTGGAGGCTTATAGTCAGAGTCGATAATTGAATTTTTTGTTCGATTATTATCACGAAACTGTTGAATTCTGATTTATTTTTATTCAGTTCTTCTTATAATAAAGTAATAGAATTGGATATCAAAATCTGATTATAAGAAACAAGCATGTATCTATCTCTATTCGTGTATTTCTTGAGTTTGACCTATTCAATGAGTTAAAGATATGTGATATCTAGTTTTCCATTATCTCAATTTGTCCTAGTCAAATTCATCTAGAAACTGAAGACCTTAAAAGATAACCTTGATTGGAAGAATTTTGGTTGAGAAAATGATATGAAAGAAAAAGAAAATAAGCCAATAAAATACTATTCTTGTCAAATGAGTTTTCAGTATATATCTATATCATTTTCAATGGAATGAACCTAGAAGTAATAAAAAAAAAAAAAAATAGGAATAGAGGATATTTTAAATGTTTAAATCCGGGTTACATCTTTTGCCCCAATTAATAATTTAGCCCCCGTTTGATCTACATTATTATCTTATTAAAATGAAAAATATGACCGTTGTCCATTACATCAACATTTAAATTCAAATTTTCTATCTCTTGTATGAACCCCAATAACGACTCTATTTTTTATTCTCATTTTATAATAATTTGGCTCAAACAGGGCCTTAATTTCTCATCAAAGAAGAAGAAAAATACAAAAAAGTATCAGAAATCATAATCGTTGAGTTCAAATGAAAAACGAGAAAAACATGAAATCTTGTACTAAGAATCTGCTTTCTTCATGCCCCAGTCTTTGAAACCCTTACATTTGATTCTCTATTGTTATTCCCCTAACTTCTCCTTTTTCTTTATATTGTATTGTACTCCCTGATTTGATCTAAATTAGGTCTTTATATAACCCCTGTTTGGTTTGGATTGAAATCAAATTAAACCTCTGTTTGTTATCCATTTTATCGAACATTGCTTGCTACACAGTAAACAATCTCCACCATATATTCACTCAATAAAATATTCTACACACAAATCAATAAAATTACTTTACTTTTAACCACACATTCTTCAAAAAATACTATTCAAAACTCTATTTCTTCTCTCAAAATGGGAGACAAATAAGCATTAAAATTTCAAATCAATGTCAACAATTAATTTTAAGGGAGGTGCTACAAGTACATCGGGGTGTACATAAGGGTGTCCATAATGGACACCGGCACCTTCCCATTGGATGAAGTGCAGGTGGGGTCGGCACTTTATCCAACGGGGAGGTGTCGGTGTCCATTATGGACACCTTTATGTATCCCCTAATGTACAAGTAGTATTTTCCTAATTTTAATCACATATTTTATAGAATCCACAATTTTTTAGCCACACATTTCATCAACTTTTATCAAAATTTACTAAAAATTTGATTTTAATCTCTACCAAACGGGGGCATAGAATCTAGCACGCCTTGAAAATCATGCACACAAATAGACCAAAAATACCCCTAAATGGAAACTCGTTGAAAACAACTATACACACGGATGGAACACGGCCCATCAAACAGGCTTTTCAAGGTGATCGGGGGTGGACCGCTGTTAGTCAACCCTACAACTTTCTTATTTTTGCACTTTGATCCCTACTTTAAGTTTTTTGTACGCTTTTGATCATTTTCGATCCAAATCTTCAATATTAATCCCGCAACTTCTAAAAGCTTCCACATTGATCCGAATCTCCATAGTAATCCAAGATTGGTGCTCTTCAAGTTTCGAAATTGTTCCATAATTGAATTTCATTCCCGAAACTTTAGAATTTCCCTCAAGTTTATCTCTTAATCGTTCCTATCAAGTCTATAAGTTGGAATGATCATGTAACACACATTTATCACTTCTCTTTTATTGGGGTCCCCAATTCCATTAAACTAACATCTGCTCGATAGTTGTACTTTATTGTTCTAGGTTGAAGACTAAATTATATCCATCATTTGATTTTTTGAAGTCCTACATTTATTTCATAATAAGAAAACAGATTCCGCATTTAATTATAATTTCAAATAAATACCAAAATAACCATAATAATTAGATATAAAAAATTGCTTAAATCGGTGATTACTTTTAAAGCTTTGGGTTCATAATTTTCATTTTTCAAAGTCTGCCTTTAATTTTCACTACCAGCTTCAATAAAATTGATTCGTGGCTAAAATCTTATAGCAGAGGTTAGGGGTGATTATTGATTGAAAATAAAGGATTAATGAAAATTACATGTGCATGTGGCTGCTTTAAATCTGAACTGCTGTGAAAAAAAAAATGTTTCTCACTTCGGAAGGAGCTATTATTTCTTTCCTCTTCCTATTTCGTACTCTATTTGCTCTCTCTCCGTCTTTCTATAGGCGCCCATAAAATTAAAGATAAATAAGCCCCTTTTATATGCACATGGTTTTCGTCTGGGCTCTTTCGGTAGGACTCTGCTTCTTGTAGAAGAGTTTCACGAGAAATTTATTTTAAATTAGACTCTTCTAGTCAAACAAAATACTTATAAAAAATATCTAAATATGATTTGACTAAATTACCAGAATTACATAACTGACCACTAGAAGCAAGATTTAATGTGAGTTTCGGAATATGATAAACATTAGGGATAGACAATTGAGGTGTGACAACATAACCAACACCTGCTAAAGGCATAAGAGTGCCATCAGCAGTCATGACAGGAATAGAAGATGAAGGAGACAGAGAAGCAAAAGATAAAAAATCTGGAGACATATGATGTGAAGTACCAGAATCCAAGACCCACACAGAATGAGACATACCTGAAGAACTATGGGGCAACTGACATGTGGAGGAGGAAGCGGAAATAGCTTGTGGCT